GAAATTCTAGACAAGGAATCTCTTTCTCTGGATATACTCGAAACAAGGACTAGATTTTGTAATGATGATACTAAAAAAGAATACGTGCCTAAAATGTATGATCCTTTGTTAAATGGACTATATCGAGGAACAATAAAAAAGGGGGTTTCATCTTCAATCATAAACAATACTTTGCTAGAAAATTGGGAAAAGAGAGTTAGACTAAATAGGATTCATACTATCTTTCTTCCGAATATTGATTACCAAGAATTTGAACAAAAAGCGTATACGATTGATAAAAAACCATTATCAACAGAAATTGACGAGTTCTTAACTTTAATCAATGAATTAGGTAACGAAGCAAAATCGAGTTTAAATTTGAAGGGTCTTTCTTTATTTTCAGACCAAGAACAGAGAAGAGCGAATTCAGAAAAAAGAACGAAATTTGTCAAATTTGTATTCAATGCACTTGATCCTAATGAGACAAAATCGGGAAAAAAATCGATTGGAATAAAAGAAATCAGTAAAAAAGTACCTCGCTGGTCCCATAAATTAATCACCGAATTGGACCAACAAATGGGTGAATTTAAAGATCGCGCATCAATGGATCATCAACTTCGTTCAAGAAAAGCCAAACGTGTAGTTATTTTTACTGACAACAAGGCGACTAAGGATGCTGAGGAGGAAGTGGCTTTAATAAGCTATTCGCAACAATCAGATTTTCGGCGAGGTATAATTACAGGCTCTATGCGGGCTCAAAGGCGCAAAACATTTATTTCGAAACTATTTCAAGCAAATGTACATTCCCCCCTTTTTGTCGACAGAATAACCCCCCTACGTCTTTTTTCTTTTGATATCTCTGAACTAATTAAACCAATTTTGAAAAATTGGACAGATAAAGAGGGAGAATTCAAGATTCTAGAGTCTAGAGAAGAACAAACAAAAAGAGAAGAGAAAAAAGAAAAGGACAAAAAAGAGGATAACAAAAGAAAGGAACAGGCACGGATAGCGATCGAAGAAGCCTGGGATACCATTCCTTTGGCACAAATAATAAGAGGTTACATGTTAATAACTCAATCAATTCTTCGAAAATATATTCTATTACCTGCATTGATAATAGCCAAAAATATCGGGCGTATGTTATTCTTGCAACTTCCTGAATGGTCTGAAGATTTACAGGAATGGAATAGAGAAATGCAGATTAAATGTACTTATAATGGTGTTCAATTATCAGAAACAGAATTTCCAAAAAATTGGTTAAGAGACGGGATTCAGATCAAAATTTTATTTCCTTTTTGTCTGAAACCTTGGCATATATCTAAACTGTACCCCTCCCGCAGAGAGCTAATGAAAAAGCAAAAACAAAAAGATGATTTTTGTTTTTTAACAGTTTGGGGAATGGAAGCTGAACTTCCCTTTGGTTCTCCCCGAAAGCGACCTTCATTTTTTGAGCCCATTTTTAAGGAACTCGAAAAAAAAATTGGAAAATTCAAAAAGAAATATTTTCTAACTCTAAAAATTTTAAAAGGAAAAACAAAATTATTTAGAAAAGTTTCAAAAGAAACCACAAAATTGTTTATCAAAAGTATTGGATTTCTAAAAAAAATAAAAAAAGAACTTTCAAAAGTAAATCTAATTGTATTATTTAGATTCAAAGAAATATCTGAATCCAATGAAACAAAAAAAGAAAAAGATTATCTAATTAGTAATCAAATAATTAACGAATCATTTCGTCAAATTGAATCTGGAAATTGGCCAAATTCTTCACTGATAGAAACAAAAATGAAGGATTTGACTAATAGAACAAGTACAATCAAAAATAAAATAGAAAGAATTACAAAAGAGAAAAAGAAAGTAACTCCAGAAATAGACATTAATCCTAATAAAACAAATAATATTAAAAAATTCGAATCGCCAAAAAAAATTTTCCAAATATTAAAAAGCAGAAATACTCGAGTAATATGGAAATTCCATTATTTTCTAAAATTATTTATTCAAAGATTATACATCAATTTATTTTTATCTATCATTAATATTCCTAGAATTACTACACAACTCTTTCTTAAATCAACAAACAAATTGATTGAGAAATTCATCTCCAATAATGAAATAAATCAAGAAAAAATTAATAATCAAAAAAAAATTCACTTTATGTTTATTTCGACTATAAAAAAGTCACTTTATAATATTAGTAAGAAAAATTCACATATTTTGTGTGATTTATCCTACTTGTCACAAGCATATGTATTTTACAAATTATCACAAACCCAAGTTATTAATTTTTCTAAATTTAGATCTGTTCTTCAATATAACACAACGTCTTGTTTCCTTAAGACTAAAATAAAGGACTATTTTAAAACACTAGGAATATTTCATTCGGAATTAAAACATAAGAAACTTCAGAGTTATAGAATAAATCAATGGAAAAACTGGTTAAGATGGCATTATCAATACGATTTATCTCAGATTAGATGGTCTAGATTAATGCCAAAAAAATGGCGAACTAGGGTTAATCAAAGTTGTATGGCTCAAAATAAAAATAGAAACTTAAACAAATGGAATTCATATGAAAAAGACCAATTACTTCATTACAAAAAAGAAAATGATTCGGAACTCTATTCATTATCAAACGAAAAAGATAATTTTAAAAAATGTTATGGATATGGTCTTTTAGCATATAAATCGATTAATTATGAAAATAAAAGTGACTCATTTTTTTCTAGATTACCCTTTGAAGTTCAAGTAAAGAAGAACTTAGAAATTTCGTATAATTCCAACACGTCCAAACACAACTTTGTTGATATGCCCGGCAATCTTCATATCAATAATTATCTAAGAAAGGGCAATATTCTAGATAGAGAAAGAAATCTCGATAGAAAATATTTTGATTGGAAAATTATCCATTTTTCTCTTAGACAAAAAGGAGATATTGAAGCCTGGGTTAAGATCGATACCAACAGTAATCCAAATACTAAAATTGGTATTAATAATTATCAAATAATTGATAAAATTGAGAAAAAGGGGGTTTTTTATCTTACAACTCATCAAAATCCAGAAAAAACTCAAAAAAATTCGAAAAAATTCTTTTTTGATTGGATGGGAATGAATGAAAAAATATTTAATCGTCCCATATTGAATCTGGAATTTTGGTTCTTCCCAGAATTTGTACTACTTTATAATGTCTATAAAATAAAACCGTGGATTATACCAAGCAAATTCCTTCTTTTTAATTTGAATACAAATAAAAATGTTAGTCAAAATAAAAACCAAAACTTTTTTCTACCATCAAATAAAAAAATAAAAATAAAGAATCGAAGTCAAGAAGCAAAAGAACCCCCAAGTCAAAGAGAGCGTGGATCAGATATAGAAAACAAAGGAAATCTGAGCCCTGTTTTTTCAAAACATCAAACCGATCTTGAAAAAGATTACGTGGAATCAGACACAAAAAAGGGTAAAAATAAAAAACAATACAAAAGCAACACGGAAGCAGAACTAGATTTGTTCTTGAAACGTTATTTGCTTTTTCAATTGAGATGGAACGGTGCTTTGAATCAAAGAATGTTCGAAAATATCAAGGTATATTGTCTCCTGCTTCGACTGATAAATCCAACCAAAATTACTATATCGTCAATTCAAAGGAGAGAAATGAGTTTGGATATAATGCTGATTCAGGCAAATTTACCTCTTACAGACTTGATGAAGAAGGGGGTATTGATTATCGAACCTATTCGGTTGTCTGTAAAAGATAATGGACAATTTATTATGTATCAAACCATAGGTATTTCATTGATTCATAAAAGTAAACACCAAACTAATCAAAGATACCGAGAACAAAGATATGTTGATAAAAAGAATTTTGACGAATTCATTCTGCAACCTCAAACTCAAAGAATAAATACAGAAAAAACTCATTTTGGTTTGCTTGTTCCTGAAAATATTTTATGGTCTAGACGTCGTAGAGAGTTGAGAATTCGAAGTTTTTTTAATTCTTGGAATTGGAATGTCGTCGATAGAAATTCAGTATTTTGCAACGAAACCAATGTAAAAAACTGGAGTCAATTTTTGGGTGAACGGAAACCCCTTTATAAAGATAAAAATGAATTAATTAAATTTAAGTTCTTTTTTTGGCCTAATTATCGATTAGAAGATTTAGCTTGTATGAATCGTTATTGGTTTGATACCAATAATGGTAGCCGTTTCAGTATCTTAAGGATACATATGTATCCACGATTGAAAATTAATTGATAGTACTATATACCCTGTCTCGTATAGAGTATCTGAAAGCAAATAAATGCAAACATGCCTTGTTTTACATCTCATTCGAATCTAATTCGAGTAGACAATACTAAATCAATAAAATAAGGTATTGATTAGATCTAGAAATGAATCAACAGAATCTTCTTCATTTTAGGATTTTAGGTTTCAATTATTCGCTTTTGTGATTAAAAAAAACGTACCTACCGTCTTTTTGGATTCCTATCTGAATCAAATTTCAAATTTGATTAATTTATTGGAATTGCTAAAATTAGAGGTTCATAAAGAAATTAAGTCTATATACCACGTTTAAATTACTGGCATTATTATTACTGATCAATAAAATTCGAAAAAATCCATATCTGTAAAATAAAGAAAGGGGAAATTCATTTATGGTAAAAAATTCTGTCATTTCAGTTATTTCTCAAGAAGAAAAGAAAGGATCTGTTGAATTTCAAGTATTCAATTTCACCAATAAGATACGAAGACTTACTTCACATTTAGAATTGCACAAAAAAGACTATTTATCTCAGAGAGGTTTGAAGAAAATTTTGGGAAAACGTCAACGACTGCTAGCTTATTTGGCAAAAAAAAATAGAGTACGTTATAAAGAATTAATTAATCGGTTGGACATTCGAGAGACAAAAACTCGTTAATTTGATTAATTTGAAGAGTTATTTCATTTTCACTTATATGTTTCGATTAAATTTTGATGAATTTCTTTTCACTTTCAGTAATTCATGGAAGAATGAATCGTTAAAAAACTTATGACTGCACCAACTACAAGAAAAGACCTCATGATAGTCAATATGGGGCCTCAGCACCCATCAATGCACGGTGTTCTTCGACTCATCGTTACTCTAGATGGTGAAGATGTTGTCGACTGCGAACCAATATTAGGTTATTTACATAGAGGGATGGAGAAAATTGCGGAAAACCGAACAATTATACAATATTTGCCTTATGTAACACGTTGGGATTATTTAGCTACTATGTTCACAGAAGCAATAACCATAAATGGACCCGAACAATTAGGCAATATTCAAGTACCTAAAAGGGCTAGCTATATCAGAGTCATTATGTTGGAGTTGAGTCGGATAGCTTCTCATTTGTTATGGCTCGGTCCTTTTATGGCGGATATTGGTGCACAGACCCCTTTCTTCTATATTTTTAGAGAAAGAGAATTGATATATGACCTATTCGAAGCTGCCACCGGTATGCGAATGATGCATAATTATTTTAGGATTGGAGGAGTGGCTGCCGATCTACCCTATGGCTGGATAGATAAATGTTTGGATTTTTGCGATTATTTTTTAACAGGGGTTGCTGAGTATCAAAAACTTATTACTCGGAATCCTATTTTTTTAGAACGAGTTGAAGGCGTAGGCATTATTGGGAGAGACGAGGCATTAAATTGGGGTTTATCGGGACCAATGCTACGAGCTTCTGGAATAGAATGGGATCTTCGTAAAGTTGATCATTATGAGTCTTACGACGAATTTGATTGGCAGGTTCAATGGCAACGAGAAGGGGATTCATTAGCTCGTTATTTAGTACGAATCGGTGAAATGACAGAATCCATAAAGATTATTCAACAGGCTCTGGAAGGAATTCCAGGGGGGCCTTACGAAAATTTAGAAATGCGACGTTTTGACAGATTAAAAGATCCTGAATGGAATGATTTTGAATATCGGTTTATTAGTAAAAAGCCTTCTCCAACTTTTGAATTGTCGAAACAAGAACTTTATGTGAGAGTTGAAGCCCCAAAAGGAGAATTGGGGATTTTTCTGATAGGAGATCAGAGCGTTTTTCCTTGGAGATGGAAAATTCGCCCACCAGGTTTTATCAATTTGCAAATTCTTCCTCAGTTAGTTAAAAGAATGAAATTGGCTGATATTATGACAATACTAGGTAGCATAGATATCATTATGGGAGAAGTTGATCGTTGAAATGATAATTGATACAACAGAAATAGAGACTATCAATTCTTTTTCCAAATTGGAATCCTTAAAAGAAGTCTATGGGATCATATGGATGCTTGTCCCTATTGTGACTCTTGTATTAGGAATCACAATAGGTGTACTAGTAATTGTTTGGTTAGAAAGAGAAATATCTGCAGGAATACAACAACGTATTGGGCCTGAATATGCCGGCCCGTTAGGAATTCTTCAAGCTCTAGCAGATGGGACAAAACTACTTTTGAAAGAGAACCTTATTCCATCTACAGGAGATACTCGTTTATTCAGTATCGGACCATCCATAGCAGTAATATCTATCTTTCTAAGTTATTCAGTAATTCCTTTTGGTGATCACCTTGTTCTAGCCGATCTTAGTATTGGTGTTTTTTTTTGGATTGCCATTTCAAGTATTGCTCCCGTTGGACTTCTTATGTCGGGGTATGGATCAAATAATAAATATTCCTTTTTAGGTGGTCTACGGGCAGCTGCTCAATCAATTAGTTATGAAATACCATTAGCTCTATGTGTGTTATCAATATCTCTACGTGTGATTCGGTGAGACCTAAAATTTATCCAAATTCTTTTCTTTCTAGAAACAAGGATAAAAAGATTTGATTGATTATATATATTTTTTTTCTTCAGCATTTGAGTTGATGAACTAAATCAGATAGTTATATGAGTGAAAGAAAACGGCTTCTAAATTTGCAGTAAAAAAGTTGAGTCTCATTTCCTATGTACAAGAATCAAATGGTGAAAAAAGTAAACATAAGCAAGAGAGATTGTTTACCCCAAGATTCGTGAATTGTCATGATAGCTTGAAGCGGGTTCAAAAGACCAACTCTATGGAGTTTTTACTGTCTATTACCATAGATGGATTTCCACAACGGGAGGTTTTTGAAACAAAAAATGAGTGGATGGTTAGGAAGACTAAGATACACAAAGGATTAGTAATTGAGATTATGTAAGTTATCCAAGAGGATATTTCTGTACATAAAAGGAATTCAAATTGGGGCTTTACGTTCGTAGAAATGATCAAGAAGTACTCCCCATGATTCTGATCCAGAGTATGTTCCTATCCACTGAGTAAGTAACTAACTATCAAGAACGAAGTAATCTTTTACTTTGGTTAAAGACCCTTTTTCTGAGAAAGGAGAATAGGAATGAAATAAAAAAATCGAAATAGAAAGAAAAGAAGCTAATTGCAAAAGGAAAAAGGAGGGATGTCTTTTTTTGTTTTTATTCTTTCTTTCCTATAATTCAATTTTTATTTCTATTTAGAGAGATAAAATTTTTGTCATGATTCATGAACTAATGTACTCTCTAATTTTTTTCGTAATTGAAAATTCGAGGTTGAAATGTATATGTGATATTGCTATAAAGCACATTTTTTTATTTAATGATAAGGTTATTAATCAACAAAGAAAAATTAAAATTCTTAAAAGATGAGATAAATTCAGAAGCACTTATTTATTAGTTTTAAATATAGCAGACAGAATTCCATTGGTCTAATTTGGGACCTTAGAATAGATTTTGACTCTATCTGACAAACATATCAAGATAAAGAATAGGAAAGGGCCCTTAGATTTAGTTGTGACCTCTGAGGAGCCGTATGAGGTGAAAATCTCACGTACGGTTCTGTAATAGCGATGGGCACAGTGATGTTATCATCGACTATGATTATCTAACAGTTTAAGTACAGTTGATATAGTGGAAGCGCAGTCAAAATATGGTTTTTGGGGGTGGAATTTGTGGCGTCAACCCATCGGGTTTATCGTTTTTCTAATTTCTTCTCTCGCCGAGTGTGAAAGATTACCTTTTGATTTACCAGAAGCAGAAGAAGAATTAGTAGCAGGGTATCAAACCGAATATTCTGGTATCAAATTTGGTTTATTTTACATTGCTTCATATCTGAATCTACTAGTTTCTTCATTATTTGTAACAGTTCTTTACTTGGGAGGTTGGAATCTTTCTATTCCGTACATATTTGTTCCTGATATATTTGGCATAAATAAAGGAGGTAAAGTCTTTGGAACACTAATTGGTATCTTTATCACATTAGCCAAAACTTATTTGTTTTTGTTCATTCCCATTGCAACAAGATGGACTTTACCGAGGCTGAGAATGGACCAACTATTAAATCTTGGGTGGAAATTTCTTTTACCGATTTCTCTAGGTAATCTATTATTGACAACCTCGTCCCAACTTCTTTCACTGTAAAAGACCACAATATCCTAGATTCACGACTTGTCTCAAACAAGAGAAAGAAACAAGCATAAAATCTTTTTTATAGATATTCAACATATGCTCCCTATGATAACTGAATTCATAAATTATGGTCAACAAACAATACGAGCCGCCAGATATATCGGCCAAGGTTTCATGATTACCCTGTCCCACGCAAATCGTTTACCTGTAACTATTCAATACCCCTACGAAAAATTGATCACATCGGAACGTTTCCGAGGCCGAATACACTTTGAATTTGATAAATGCATTGCTTGTGAAGTATGTGTGCGTGTATGTCCTATAGATTTACCCGTTGTTGATTGGAAGTTGGAAACTGATATTCGAAAGAAACGATTGCTTAATTACAGTATTGATTTTGGAATCTGTATATTTTGTGGTAATTGCGTTGAGTATTGCCCAACAAATTGTTTATCAATGACCGAAGAATATGAACTTTCTACTTATGATCGTCACGAATTGAATTATAATCAAATCGCTTTGGGTCGCTTACCAATGTCAGTAATTGATGATTACACAATTCGAACAATTTCGAATTTACCTCAAATAAACAATGAATAAACCCTTAATTTGATTCAAAAAAATTACAAATTACGAAGGCTTAGTTCGGATCTAAAACAATGAGATTTTTGCTTGGGCAATTCAAACTAGTGGTTTCTTAATGAGACTCCTAGCTTAAGCTTAATTTAGATTGAAAACAAAACCGAGTTCAATATTATATATTATAATAGTAATGGTTTCAAAGTAGATAAATGATATCAAAAATAGATAGGTTTAAACTCCTCTTTCGACGAATAAAGAATGGATAGTGGTCCAATAAAATAAAAGCATCTACGTCAATTCATACCCATTAGACTTTCATTCAATTAACAATTTCAAAGTATCATAAAAAATAGAAAAACTGCTTTTTTCCTGGTCAGGTCAATAAAGTCATGAAATTCTTCGTTTTTGATTTTTTATAAAAAATGGATTTATCTGAACCAATACATGATTTTCTTTTAGTCTTTCTAGGATCGGGTCTTATATTAGGGGGTCTAGGAGTGGTATTACTTCCCAATCCAATTTATTCGGCCTTTTCCTTGGGATTGGTTCTTGTTTGTACATCGTTATTCTATATTCTATCTAACGCCTATTTTGTAGCTGCTGCGCAGCTACTTATTTACGTAGGAGCTATAAATGTTTTAATCATTTTTGCTGTGATGTTCATGAATGGCTCAGAATATTACAAGGATTTTCATCTTTGGACCGTAGGAGATGGAATTACTTCGATGGTTTGTATAAGTCTTTTTATTTCACTAATTACTACTATTTCAGATACGTCATGGTACGGGATTATTTGGACTACAAGATCAAACCAGATTATAGAGCAAGATTTTCTAAGTAATAGTCAACAAATTGGAATTCATTTATCAACAGATTTTTTTCTCCCATTTGAACTTATTTCCATAATCCTTTTAGTTGCTTTAATAGGTGCAATTGCTGTAGCTCGTCAATAAAAAATTTCTATTAAAACTTGGAATTCAAATAAAATTTTGTTCTGTCTTATCACATTAATTTTCCTTCAATTCTATTTGAATTCTAGCTGGATAAATAGAAAGACTTTAGGTCAATCTAGTAACAATATATTTCTTTGTTCCATACTTGTTATATACTAGTCAATTAAGTTAGTTGAATTGTTGTTCATATTGAAAGGAGTCGGGATTGATAAGGAGTTGTTTAATGATTCTCGAACATGTACTTGTTTTGAGTGCCTATTTATTTTCGATCGGTATCTATGGATTGATCACAAGTCGAAATATGGTTAGAGCCCTTATGTGTCTTGAACTTATATTGAATGCAGTTAATATCAATTTTGTAACATTTTCTGATTTTTTTGATAATCGTCAATTAAAGGGAGACATTTTCTCAATTTTTGTTATAGCTATTGCAGCCGCTGAAGCAGCCATTGGCCTGGCTATTGTTTCATCAATTTACCGTAACAGAAAATCAACTCGTATCAACCAATCAAATTTGTTGAATAATTAATATTAATCATCTAGATTCTAATATTGAGAAATCTATTTTAATTAGCATGTTTACTACGTAAAGTATGATCTTGTTTGCAAAACATAAGAAATCAAAGTATTTTGGCCTCTCTCATATCTCATAAACCAATCCAGAAAGGGGTTGATTAGAAAATTATGATAACTCATTGATTCATCTGGTATCTAAATATACGATTCGTTTCTAAGTTTACTAGATCGAAAATTTAGAACATTCAAAAACGTATAGGCCCAATGTCACATTCAGTAAAGATTTATGATACGTGTATAGGATGTACTCAATGTGTCCGAGCCTGCCCCACTGATGTATTAGAAATGATACCTTGGGACGGTTGTAAGGCTAAACAAATTGCTTCTGCTCCACGAACAGAGGACTGTGTTGGTTGTAAGAGATGTGAATCCGCCTGTCCAACAGATTTCTTGAGTGTCCGAGTTTATTTATGGCATGAAACAACTCGCAGTATGGGTCTAGCTTATTGATACGTTCGAGAAAACTCTACTTGAATCCATTTAATTTTTTTACCGACAAACCTGTGCTCGAAAATAAAAATATTTTGAGCACGGGTTTTTTTGGTCCAAGTGTATCTTGTCTTTACTACGAATTATTTTCCTTGGTTAACAATAATTGTCGTTTTTCCGATATTTGCGGGTTCTTTAATTTTCTTTCTTCCCCATAAAGGAAATAGGGTAATTAGGTGGTATACAATATGTATATGTATTTTAGAACTCCTTCTAACAACTTATGCATTTTGTTATCATTTCCAATCGGATGATCCATTAATCCAACTAGTAGAGGATTATAAATGGATCGATTTTTTTGATTTCCATTGGAGATTAGGAATAGATGGACTTTCTATAGGACCCATTTTATTAACAGGATTTATCACTACTTTAGCGACTTTAGCGGCTTGGCCAGTTACTCGAGATTCTAGATTATTCCATTTTCTCATGTTAGCAATGTACAGTGGTCAAATTGGATTATTTTCGTCTCGGGACCTTTTACTTTTTTTCATCATGTGGGAGTTAGAATTAATTCCTGTTTATCTACTTCTAGCCATGTGGGGAGGAAAGAAACGTCTGTACTCAGCTACAAAATTTATTTTGTACACGGCGGGGGGTTCCGTTTTTCTCTTAATGGGAGTTTTGGGTGTTGCTTTATATGGTTCTAATGAACCAACATTAAATTTTGAAACATCAGTTAATCAGTCATATCCTGTGGTTTTAGAAATAATCTTCTATATTGGATTTTTTATTGCTTTTGCTGTCAAATCGCCCATTATCCCCCTACACACATGGTTACCAGATACCCATGGAGAAGCACATTACAGTACTTGTATGCTTCTAGCCGGAATCTTATTAAAAATGGGAGCGTATGGATTAATTCGAATCAATATGGAATTATTACCTCATGCCCATTCTATATTTTCTCCTTGGTTGATGATAATAGGTACAATACAAATAATCTATGCAGCTTCAACATCTCTTGGCCAACGGAATTTAAAAAAAAGAATAGCCTATTCCTCTGTCTCTCATATGGGTTTCATAATTATAGGAATTAGTTCTCTAACCGATACGGGACTAAATGGAGCCCTTTTACAAATAATCTCTCATGGATTTATTGGTGCTGCACTTTTTTTCTTGGCGGGAACGACTTATGATAGAATCCGCCTTGTTTATCTTGACGAAATGGGCGGAATAGCTATTCCAATGCCAAAAATGTTCACGATGTTCAGTAGCTTTTCGATGGCTTCCCTTGCATTACCAGGTATGAGTGGTTTTGTTGCCGAATTGATAGTATTTTTTGGAATAATTACCGGCCAAAAATATCTTTTAATGCCAAAACTACTAATTACTTTTGTAATGGCAATTGGAATTATATTAACTCCTATTTATTCATTATCTATGCCACGCCAGATGTTCTATGGATACAAGTTATTTAACGCCCCGAAGGATTCTTTTTTTGATTCTGGACCGCGAGAGTTATTTCTTTCGATCTCCATCTTTTTACCCGTAATAGGTATTGGTATATACCCCGATTTCGTTCTTTCATTAGCAGTTGACAAGGTCGAAGTTATTCTATCTAATTTTTTTTATAGATAATTGGATGACTGAAATAAAAAAACCTATGTTTGTTTTTAAAAACATTCTTGGACAATGAAAAAAAGTCTTCTTTTTTTCTTCTCTTTTAACTTAAGAATTAAGTAAAAACAATGAAATTGAACTACATATGGTAGAAAACCGTGTGAATCATCAATACAATATTTGATTCACACGGTCCGCATGCTGGTTCATACAATGCGTCGCCCGCTCTTGTATTTGTAATAACTTGTCTTGAATTCAATTAAATGTTGATGGAAAAGAACCATAACTATGTAACCCTATTCCTAATAGATTGACCCCAAAATAGCATATCCAAATTATAAGAAAACCTATCGACGCTACAATTGCAGAATTTGGACCCCGCAAATTTCTATTTGTTCGAGTATGTAAATAAATGGCAAATACGATCCAAGTAATAAATGCCCAAGTTTCTTTTGGATCCCAATTCCAATAGGAACCCCACGCTTCATTAGCCCATACCGCTCCCGAAAGGATTCCTATGGTTAAAAAAGTAAATCCTAAACTAATAACCCGATAACTCCAATAATCCAATTGTTGAATCAATTGGGACCTGTAATAATTTTTAGTACAAAAAAACGAAGTATTTTCGACAACATTTTCACCCAAGAAAAATGACTCGTTTAAAAAAACATTGCTCTTAGAAAAAAGCTTTCTGTTTTTTCGAAATGTAATCACTAGAAGTGCTACTGATAATAACGATCCACATAAAAGGGCTGCATAGCCCAATATCATCATACTTACGTGCATTATTAACCACTCAGATTGAAGAGCAGGTACTAAGATTCCAGATTGGTGTATTTCAGTTAAAAT